GGTGGCTTCCTTTGTTGCAGAGCACAGGGTCTCAGGTGCGTGCACTCCGCGACTGTGGCTCCGAGGCTTTAGAACACAGGCTCAGTAGTCGTGTGGCACCGGCTTAGTTGCCCTGAGGCATGTGGGATCCTCTCAGGGATCGAACTCTCGCCTCCTGCATTAGCAGGAGGATTTTTTTTAACCAGTCACCAGGGAAACTCCTAAAATGTATACTAGAATCACTGAAGAGGAAAAGCGTTTCCGAGATTTGGAGGATTTCTGACAAAGCCAGAAGCACAACGGGTAGGAAGAGGTGGAACAGAAGGGGCTGGAATCAATGGAAACTGCTTCTCCCTGCTTCTCTGTTAGCCAGCTTTGCTGGTAGGGAAGAGAGCACCAAGGGGAACACAAAATAACCCAGCGGTTCTTGAAGGGCAATTGTTCTTGAAGCTCTTCTTCGTTAATTTTACCCATTTTTTGGGGGGGGGAGGGGGCATTGTGGTGGAGGGGAAGAAATGGCAACCCACTCCAGTCTTCTTGCCTGAAAAAGCCCATGTGGACAGAGGAGCCTGGCGGGCTGCGGTTGCAGAGAGTCAGACACGACTGAGCACCTACAGTGGTAGAGGTGAGGGATGCTGATGTGACCGGAGCATAGGAAAATTACCCCTCCAGTGCTCTGAACCCATTAAATATCTTAGTGGGTATTAGCTCAAAGTCTTTCTCCTGCAGGCAAATCCCTTGAAAAATTTTAGTTCACATTCAGGAAACACACCCCATCAAGTGTCGTATCTGGAAGCATAACCTGGCGCATCTCCAAGCCATGCTGTTGGCACTCTTCCTTTGCGACGTTTCTGAGTTCAGGTAGGAAAGCCAAGCCACCGAGCATCTATACCCTTTCCTCGTTTGGATATCATGAGTTTTTGTAAAACTGGAACAACACATTTTGCTTACTGATCTTATCTTTTTCATATAGAAAAACATGTAGGAGATATATGCTGAAACCAACACTAGAGAAGACAGTCCAGAATTCAGCCCAACCATACTAGTATCTGTTGCTTTTTTATTCTTCACCTCAAGGTACATAAAGCACTGTAAGTGAACAAGTATCATTTCCTGGACCTTCTCTAATCTCACTGCTAACACTTTAAGGCTAATTCGTGGACCAACTACTGTATACAGTACATGAGTTCAACTTCCAGCTCTGTCACCATGGGTGAAGCCAGGCAAGTTATTTATACTCTCTAACCTCAATTTCTTTTTTTGTGAAAAGGAACGAATAATAAGGTTTTTATGAGCTATAAATGAGATACTGCAAGTAAGGATATTGCATGGAACCTTATGTTTGCCATTATTCTTGTTGTTCTCATCACTCTGTCTACAGTCTCTCTCTGTAAAATTCACCTCCCACTTTGCTGCCATGTAATTATTAACCCACTTCTGACTCGGTCAGTCTCTTGTCAAAACTCTGCAATGGATCCCATGCACACAGGAGACTCTTATCTTCTGGCCTGCAGTGTGTGGCCATTCTCTATCTAGCCTTAACCAATCTGCCTCCAGTCTGTCTCCCACGAGGCCCCTCAGCAACAGACAACTTCTCCTTCCTTAACAGCCCCTGGTCTTTTCAGCTTGGTTGCTCTGTTCCTCGCAGTCCCTCTGTATGGAAGGCCTTCCCAGTGTACATCCATGGCAGTTGCTGACCCACCAAGTGAGCACGGATGCCACCTCCTCCACAAAGCTCTAGCAAAGTGAGTTCTCATTCTGGATGCCTGATACTTGTCTTCTTTCACCTTGAAAAAAAGTGTTACTTAGGGTCACATTACCTCCCAACCTAAAATGTAAGTCCTTTAAAAACCAAGGTTCAAATCAGTTTTATATCCCCAGGGCCTCGAAAGGCCACGCTATAGGGCCACACTCATGAGAGACTTGAAAACCATTTACGGAATGAGTAATCAAGTACTCCCACCAAACAGTGAGAACAGAGAGGGTAAGATAAAGCACTGAGGGGCCAGCGTGGGGAGAGGTTATATCAACCAACTTCACATCTGAACTCTCTTTAAGGATATCAGAACTCTGTTAGGCAGAGATGATGGAAATCAGAAATCTAGGCCCAGAAAGCAACCTGAATAAAAGATGGAGGGGGAAAAGACTGAAGAACAGTCTGTATGGCCGAAATTTAGCAGATGCAAAGGGTAGTAGGTTATTAGGACTGAAAGGTCAGATTATAGGAAGACCCGGTAGGAATTCCTAAGGAAACTGGACTTAATCCAAAAGGCCAAAGGAAGCCATGGGCGGTTGAGGACAAAAATCATATAGTCATATGTATGCTTTAGAAACACTACTCCATCAGCTGGGCATAAGACAGAACTAGGGGTGAAAGACCAACTTTTGCAATAGTTACAAAACAGTCTTGAACTATATTGGTGACATATAATGGCAAGAATGCAAAGGTGAAAGAGAATAAAAGGCAAGACTGGAAAGAGAACTGCAGCGGGGTGAGGGAGAGGGAGCAGGGTTCTGAACCTGGCCTACATGGAGACAATCCAGGTCCATCAACTTGGGTGGAAAAGCAGAACATCTACCTTCACTAGCCTCTAAGTGCAATGCAGCAGCATTAGGCTGCATCAGACTAGCGAACGGGTCCACGGCATAAACAAGTACTTCTGCACTCAAGTGATGAACCGTTTGGGAAAGCCTTTACCAGAGATTGGGCTTCCCTCATAGTTCAGTTGATAAAGAATCCGCCTGCAATGCAGGAGACCCCGGTTCAATTCCTGGGTTGGGAAGATCCCCTGGAGAAGGGAAAGGCTACCCACTCCAGGATTCTGGCCTGGAGAATTCCATGAACTGTATAGTCCACGGGGTCGCAAAGAGTTAGACACAACTGAGCGACTTTCATTCATCACCAGAGATAAAGATTAGCATTAAATAAGAAACTTCAAAAATATAAAAGCAAAATTCTGTGTGGGGACTGAGAGAAGGAATAATAAAGATGGATAAAATCATGTTTGACTGGGACATGCTATGTTTCAGGCCCCACCCCACACTCGTCTCACACAAGGACATCCCTTTTCTTGAGCCCAGTGGCCTCCAGCTGCAGGGAAATCTAATTGCCTCTACATAGTTGGAATCTTCATTTCCTATTCTGTTCATCCTCCCATTTTGTGACAATAAAAACAATCCAAGGGTGACCAAGTGTCCTGGTTTGCCTGGGACAGAGGGGCTTTCTAGGACATGTGCCTTTGATGCTAAAACTAGGAAAGACCAAGGCAAACTGATGAGCTAGCTAGTCACTCTAAGGGCCCTCAAATCTGGCACTGCATGCTAACAAGGCTATATTAATACCATGCTTCAATTAAGAAAAACACCAGGCCATTTAAGGTTTATTTTAGATCTGAGTTTGTCCATCTGTTCTTCCCACAAAGAAAATATTGAAGGAAAATCTTCCTATTACAAGGTCAGACAGTTATGGGCACTCCAATGCTTTAGCAGATGAATATTATCGTCAATAGTTCTACCATTTACCAAGTCCTGGCACATTTTTATCTTATGCAACGCTCACAGGGGCTGTGAGACAGACTTGGTTCTCTTCACACTACAGAAGAAACCAAGGCTCTGGAAGACTTCGTCCTTCGCTCTCTCACAGTGCAAGCAAAGTGGCTGACTCCCGGCAGCGCAACTGCTAAAGAACAGTGAATTACTGCGTGTCCCACAGCGGCACGAGGAGTTCTTGCTACGTGGAGATGATGTAAAACTGCGGTTGTCTTTCTTTTGCAGTGTCCATGAACTCTGGCATTATACTAATACACAGTAAAATGCAGTGTTAGCCCTAAGGTAGTGAGGCCCACAGGAAAACGCGTAAAAGCCAATGATTAAGTGTTCAAAATTGGTGTGATTAGCTAAGAGAAACAATAACTTACAAATCCAATTGTATAGCAAATGGTATCAAACCCATGCTCTCAACTGCAGTCTCTAATTAGAAAATCTTGTAAGGCAGAGGCTGTGCCTACCTTGGTCAATACTGGAACCAACACAGACCCACGTGTGACTGTTAAGGATCAGTCCAGCATCTTGGAAAGGGATGGGAAAGGTGAAAGCCTGGATACACAAACCTGGGTAGTCAATCACTACTAGGACTTCACACAAGGGAGCGGCCTGGCATTGCTGGGTTTATTGGCCCTGCAATTCACCCTGCAGCCATGGCAACGCCCACACCAAGAGGCAGCTCCAGAATACTCTAACCTTTGGATAGCCACACCGCACCTACGCGGCTCAAATAAAACCCAACCAAGACATCGCTCCCACTAAAGCAGACCACCGTGGCCTTTTCCCATTTCTCTAGCACTAATTCACCCAGGGAACATAGCTCTTTTTCTTCACCCATATCCACCGAAGGGGTTCCTGAACCACGACCACTTTTGCTACAGTAAAAGAGAAATTGAAAAAAAAAAAAAAGCAGGCTTTTCTTCTTTTTTGCAGGGGTAGGAATCAGAGGCGAACGAAAGCCGGATGCACACACAAACAATAGTTGCCTAAAAAGGCAACCAAACTGGTGCGATCAAAACAATGTTCAGCCAACGTCTCGCAGCGTGTCTGTCAGGCAAACTCCGTTTCGCTCCCGCAGGCCACGATCTCTGGAGCCGGTAAATAGTTTCTAAGACGGCTGTTAGGAGTTACAGCTCTTAACAAAAAAACAAAACGCATTCCCTGCAGGCGGGAACCGCGCTCGGCAGGAGCAAAAAACATGACGTATTCGGGAGAGGTTTCCAGAACTGCCTTCCAGCGCGAGCAAGATACCCAAGGGGCGAATCTCCCTGTCGCGCCTAGAAATGGAGTCAAAGCACCCTCCCGGCGTCCGGCGACGGAGTGCACACCCAGCGGTCTGAGGGCAGCGGCCTCGGTCTCCTACCAGGCCCGCCTCACCCAGGGGAGCCGCCAGCCCTCCAGTTCTGCCCCCGCCGCCTCCTGGGACCTACGCACACACGAGGCGGCCCACCGCAACGGAAAAAGGGAAGAGAACCTACCTCCCCGCCACCCCCCAACACACAAAACTTCTGTCGCAGAGCCTTTCTCTGCCGGGCCAAGGGCGCCGTGAGAAACCCCAACGATACCGGGGCGCCCGCGCCGCCCCTAGCAAAGATGGCGGCCACAGGCGCAGCCGCTCCCTCCCTGGGCGGCCGGCGGCCCCTCGGTCCACAGCCGTTCACGCGGAAGCCCTCCACGCCCACCGCGGCTTGACGCATTGCAGGTGCGGCGCGGCCAATCAGGCGCCTCGACTCTTTCCGGCCAACCACTGCAGAGTCGCGCTGGCCAATCAGAGCGTCCTTCTCTGATTGAGCGAGGAAAGCAGCCTCGGCAGCGCCAGCTAAGCAACCGGCTCCAGGGCAGCGCGTTTTGGAGGCTGTGAGTCACGATTTCGTGTGCTCCTCCGCCGGGAGATATAGTGCCCCCGCCCCGCCCCGCTCCGCCCCGCTCCGCCCCGCCCCGCCCCGCGAGCGCGCGCGCTTGAATGGCTTCGGCGCGAGGCTCGGCGGTCCTCCGGCTCCCGGAGCTACGGGAGGCGAGTAGTTCTATAGAGAGGAGTGGATTCCTTTGCCGTGCTCTTGGCCCTCCGAGGGGCAATCTCGAGCCATCCTCGCCCTGCCTCCTGGCTCAGTGAGGTCGCGCCCATGATGGTTCGTACGACACCTTCTGTCAGGTGCTGCCAGAGAGATGAGGAACATCCCCTTACCTCGAAACCCTGACTCGGCCTTCGAAGGCGACCCTTCCTGTTTACAGGCGGAGGCCTAGCTTCCCGGGAGCGCACTAGCGGGCAGAGAGTTGTTTCAGAAAGACCCGTTTTCGTTTCCCTCACGTGGTTTTTTTACCTCGTCCCGCGGGCGCGGGTTTCCGGAGCCGGCCGGGCCGGAGGGGGATGCCCCAGGGGCCGGCCTGGGGGCCCGGGGACAGAACCGACGGTTAGCTCCTGGGTAGACCAAGGGGCAGTTTCTTTAGTCCTTAGGGAAGACTCCTAGACAGAGAAGGCTTGGCGAGATAACCTGTCAGATGAGCCATCAGTTCAGTCAGTTCAGTTGCTCTGTCGTGTCCGACTCTTTGCGACCCCATGGACTGCAGCAGGCCAGGCCTCCCTGTCCATCATCGGAACTTGTTCAGACTCGTGTCCATCCAGTCGGTGATGCCACCCAACTACCTGGTCCCACAGTCTGCCTAGTGCAGAGTCTGTCCGGGGACCCCTCATCTCGCTCTGCAGTGAGCTGTCTGAGATCCAGAAAGGTCAATCCACCTTCCTGCAGTCGCCCCGCGCCTGAGGAGCAGAGCACAGACTAGAATCCAGGTTGTCTGTCTCCCAAGCTAGTGCTATAGTAACACCCCATCTTCTGGAGCTTTTGCTGTACTGTGAGATGACTCAGAAAGTCCCTTTTACATTTATTTTCACACTGGAGGGAGAGTCCCCATTTACCAAGAAGTTAGGGTTATCGTAAAGTGCATCCCAGGCTTATCTTCACGTGAATCAGTGTGACACGAAATACTCCTCTGAGTTTACTTAAGTCCTAGTACTTATTAAACCCACTACCTTTCGGTGGTCAGAAAACTAGCTCGCTAAATTGTGAGCTTCTCAAGGACAGGACCTATCAAATTTATTTTCATATTCTCATTGTTTGGTGAATTTCATTTCCATAAGCTCAATAAAGGTTATTGAAGGAATACATGAGCAAATAATTAAGACAGAGGTAGAAAGAAAACCTGGATATGAAAGGTTCTTTTGAGTTCCAAAAAATCAATCAACCAGTACTTACAGAGAATCTATTGTATAGAAAGTATAGTTTCTTCTTTCAACAAGTTTTTTTTTTTTCCCATTTGAATTTTCTCCATTTTTAAATTAAGGAAATATCATCGTTATGGGACATTATTTTTTAAAATAGCAGGGTTTATTTCCAAGCTTTCCTTTGTATAGTCTATTATGTTCTTCGAACAATACAGATGTAGAAGAAAATGATTTTTTAAAAAATCTGACTCATTCAAAAATGCTTACTTCCCCCTTTTATTGTTGCTTTTCTGTTCTTTGCAAAGAGATAATGTCCTCTACCCAGCTTTTGATTATTTTTGGCAATTTTTGGAAATAAATGTCCAGGATTGATCAGCTGGAGTAAACATGGCCTAGTCTGTTCTAAGTATTTTAACTATAATTCAACAGAGTAAGAACTCTATAATGGTCTTAATTTTTACCATTTATAAAAAGATGTAAATCTTGAGTCAAGTCCCCTGTGACCTCTATTTGTAGCCACACCTCCGGGGGTCTCCTAGTTACTAGGGAATTCGGTACAAATTCCTCACAAGTTTCACAAGCAAAATATTTAGAATCATAAAGTTCTAAGTCTGGGAGGAACCAAAGTCCATCTGGGTCCCCTTTTCCAATTTTCAGATAAGAAAACTACGTTCCAAGAAGTACAAGTTCAGGACAGAGCAGCCTTTAGGATCTTACTAGACTGAACTTTCCTTTGACCTTTGAAAACATTTTAATCAAAGATTAATCATTTTAAGGGGAGCAGAGGAATGTTATCATCTGCAAGGCCTCCAAGTGATGGAAAATCTCAGGATGACTTTTCTTTGGACTTTGTGATTCCATTTAGGGATTGGCTGTCCTGAATTGTTCTCTGTGCTAGGCCTTATCTATACAGCTTGTTGAAAATCTTTGACCTTCATTTAAATTGCTCACACTTTCCTCTTGTTAAGCTTTGTCATATTTACTTACAGCTTCTTCAGGCTAGCAGAGGTCCCCTTTTTTATTCCTAAAAGGGCTCAGAGAAGCTAATTATTTTTAAACTGAAGTATAGTTGATTTGCAGTGTTGTGCAAAGCTCATTTTTTTGAGATGAGTAATAAACAAATGAAAGCAAAGGTAGTTATATAATTATAATTCTTTCATAACCTTCTGAAGTGTTTTTCAGGATATTCTAAATGCTAGTAAAGAATAATCATGGTTATATCTTCATTTTTCACTATGCAACTTATAAGCTGGTTCCTAAAAACTTGGTTCTTTTCTTTAATTGATTAAAACAGGTATAACTGAACTTGTTCAGAATATGGTGCTTTTTCACAGAAAGAAAAGCTTGTTCCATGACTTTAGCAATGCCTAACCCTCTAACCTAGCTGACCACCTTGCAAATGTTACAAGCAACAGAGTTTAGAAAGTAAAAAATGGCTTTGTGAGGGCCTGTGGTATCACCACACAAAACAGAGGTTGAAACCTCAAAGTACCTCAAAATACAAAGTTCCCACAGGTACAAAGTCCTGAATGGCTTTGATCAGTTTTTGACCTTTCTTTAGGATTTGAAAATCAGAAATGCCTCTATTAGAATCACTATGTCAATAGACCATTTAAAGCATGGCTTCTATATTTTGCTGCTATTCAGTTTTAAGGTCATTTTCTGGTGACTCAGACAGTAAAGAATCTGCCCGCAATGCGGGAGACCTGGGTTCGATCCCTGGGTCAAGAAGATACCCTGGAGAAGGGAATGGCTACCCTCTCCAGTATTCTTGCCTGGAGAATTCCACAGGTAAAGGGGAATTCCATGGATGGAGAATTTACAGTCTATGGATTCACAGAGAGTAGGACATGACTGAGTGACTTAACACCTAGGTTTCAAGCTTTGTGTGAAACAGGTGCAACAAGGAAACTGTGTGTGTCAGAGGAGAGCTAGAGCAGTGAAACGTGAAACTATAAATCAGTTCTCTGAGTCACCAATTTCTTTGGCTGCTCTAGGAGAGGGTGATGACTCAGCAGCATTCCAGTGGTGTGGTGGAGCAAATGAGGCTGCGAGGGCTTGTTGCCCTGGGTACCAGCCCATGGGGGGCGCTGAAAAATGGGAGCCTTGGATCTTCCCACTGCTGGATCGTTGGATTCACCGAAACTGCTTGATTCCCTGACTGATTCTGAATTGCCTTTTATCTGACCTTTGCCATATTTAGCTGATTGATGTTATAAAATATTATGAACAACCACAGTTTGTTTAGGGCTTCATTGTTTACAAACTAATTTGACATTCTTTTCTCCTAGGTAACCCTCACACAAGTCCATGGCTGAGTCTGTGTGGTTAACTGGCTAAGGAAATAGTCATTTAACATGGCAGATAATATTGTACAATATTGTCCCTTTCTTGGGAAATAACTGTTTTCTTTGTCAAAACAATAAAAATAACAAAACTTTCTTTCTTCATTGAAAGAAGACAAAATTTCTGTGCCTCGCTTTGGTTTATAGGGGAGAATGTGGGAAGAAAGGCACCCACCAGTACTCGTGGTATAGCTTGAAAACTCTCCTGAAGGCAAATCTTCCCAGTGGCCAAAATGATCCAGTCATCCTCTGGTGGTGCCTAGAGTTGGTCTGTTAGCCAATGACTCAGAGTCTCTACTTAGAATGAATAAAACTCAAAAGCATCTTCACTGGACTTGGACAGAGATAGGCCCAGTTTTTCTGTTCAACAACCTGCCTTTGGTGGTATTTTCTCCACACAGGAAGCTGGGAATGGATCCAGTCACATGAAAGTCGGGAAAGAACTGCCACAGAAAGGAAGGCTCAACCCAGGTAGGTACTTGTTCAGGGCTGTAGAAGGGTACCGGTCAGAATCAAAGCAGGAACAGTCCAGCCTATTCCTGAGGAAGTATGACCCACTGTACTCCAGGGAGTCTCGTTTCCGGTGGTAGTTCCGGTGGCGGGATTACAGCAGAGGACTTCCTTTTCCTTTTCTCTCTGCTTTGGAAAATTCATTTCTCATATCCTCTCTAGCCCAATAGTGAATTGAGCTCAGCACTAATCAATTAAATAATCTATTGATATTTATTACCAGGTACTGAGCTGAGTTCAGAGTATAAGATGGTAGCTTCTGCTAGTATGAGGAGATGGAATATATGAAAAGATAATATCAAGTCAGTTCAGTCAGTCAGTACAGTCTGTCAGTCGTGTCCAACTCTTTGCAACTCCGTGAATCGCAGCATGCTAGGCCTCACTGTCCATCATCGAGGATAGGACTCCCAGAGTTTACTCAAGCTCATGTCCATCGAGTCGGTGACGCCATCCAGCCATCTCATCCTCTGTCGTCCCCTTCTCCTCCTGCCCCCAATCCCTCCCAGCATCAGGGTCTTTTCCAATGAGTCAGATCTTCGCATGAGGTGGCCAAAGTATTGGAGTTTCAGCTTCAGCATCAGTCCTTCCAATGAACACCCAGGCCTGATCTCCTTTAGGATGG